AACCAACACCTACTCTTCTTATTCACCCTCGCATAAATTACGACACGCATCGCCGTTGACAATTAAGAACCTAAATTACCACTTTGTCGCTGAAGAGAAAAGTTTCTAACTAAAAGTTAGCATCGAATTTAGAGATTACCGATATATGTACAAAATGAACAAGAATATAACAGAAAGATTACAAACATTAACTACGTTCGAATTCGTAAAAACAAAGTATGTAATACGTTAGACAGAAAAAAAAGAAGGATCGACATGGATCATCGATTGCGAGGCCAGTTTCGTAAAATAGCCAGCCGAGAGACGTTAAAAAGAAAAGATTACCGTTACGAACGTTAGCCGTTGAGCGGGAAAAAAAAAATGATACTTTGTTGCCGGCAGAAGAAACGGTCGCGCGAGAAACGCACAGATTTTCGTTCGAGGCACGCTCAGAAAGTGGGCATTTAAACGTATCCGCAGGTCGGACCAGACTACATTGTCAGCGGGCCAGAGTCACGTTGAAAGGAAAAATATACGCGAATCGTGCAATTCGATCCGGAAGCGGGGAATTCATTACCATAGCCGTCGAAGGAAGTTGAGGTGATTACACGACAAGAATCTAAGGCGAAAGACTGCCTCTACGCTCGTTCTGGGTTTTTCCCCTTGAAAACCTTACCATTTCATCTACGCATAGCTCTGCAAACCATTGTGAAAAATTTTCTTTCTACGGTAAATGAATGTTTCGTAGTATTTCGACTTAATGTTTCAACTAGAAAAGTGTCGTTTACGTTTACAATAAAACGAAGTTCATTTGGTTAAAAATAGTAAACGATATTTGATTGGTCGAAATAGTTACTAGTTTCTTCGTATCCTATGTTTCGATGTAATTGGGGAATTTTTTTTTTTTTTCGAATTCGATAATATACAGAAACGAACGTTTCTGAATTCTGATTTATCAATTTTTAAAGTTTTTAATTCCTATGATTACTGTCCTTGACAATTTTTTAATTGAAACAGCGAAAAAATATTTTGAACGAATATTTACATTTCGAATACTTATTCCTCCGTTCGTTTTGCAAATTTTAAATGAAACCGGTAGTACTGTTACAGACAGGTCTCGAAATTCGTCAATAACCAATCTAACCAGTCAAAGTTAGTCTTATCGAAGGTTTTTCGTCAATACTAGTATTAACTAGTTACTTCTAGAAATAACCAAAATAACTAAAAACACGTATTTTTGTATATATTGTTATAATATTTTTGCGAATATTTCCAGTCTCCAGTTCAGTAGGAAAATGTCGATAGTGAATGTAGAAATGGTATATTAACGTTAATAATGTCGAAATTTCATACGAAAATGTCTAGTACTTCTTCGGTTACACGTGTAATTTTAAATCGAAATACGAGAATTTTCGGCGGCGAATAAGCGAGGTTACGTGAGATGTATCAACCGTAACAATACGAAGTATTAACGATACACCGAATTTATCGTGAACGTGAACATATTAATTATGAAACCTGGCTGGACTATCGGGACGCATTTGGCAACGCACGGTGACGTAACCACAGTGACTGATCGCACTGACATGATTCGCCTCGTCAATGACGGCAATACGCCGCGAGCGCGCCGCCAGCAGCAAAAGCCGCGTACCTACGCAACAAGCGTGTTTTTTAAATTTTAAAGGGACCCCAGACGCGTGTTCGACGTCACCAGGCGTCTCTCTCTCCCTCTCTCTTTCTCTCCCTCGCGCACCGCGGCCAAAAATAAGCTAACGTTCGGTTCGCGGCCGTTGCGCGACTTTCCACGCTCCACCCGTTCGAAAAAACCAATAGCCAAACACGTTCGAACTGGTCGATATCGAAATTGGACAGCCGAAAGCCTAAGAGTTTCAGATTCGACGAATTTCACTTCAGGCGATCCTTTCCAGACGAAAAACTCGAGCACTCTACCGCTATGGTCTGTTAATGTTCCCAGTTGATAGACTAAATGTGTCTTATGTGCTTCACCACCGTGACACTTGTTAAGTATTTGCAGATGGAACGTCGAAAGTGAGATTGATTATGTAGTTTCTTTCGGAAGCATTGCACGACAGAGTTCGATGGAATGTTATGCTCGAGGTATTATTGTTGATAAAAACAAAGTCAACACTCGCGCGAGATTATTCCGTATAATTACATAACACGAGTGTTTACTGACAATCCCTTAAAAAAAAAAAACGACGTCGATAAGCAAACTATGTATGCAGCGTTTTTCGAACGTCCCAGTGGGCAGAGATATTTAACAGCTCGAGCATTATCAACACCCACGTTGTCAATGTTCCTCTCACAGCATGTACGAAGCTTCACGGATGCAAAACTACCGAAGCAAGACGTGTCACCAGTATCGACCGATGTAACCCCTTCCGATTATCGAAAAAGTTCAAGGAACTGCACGGGAGTAGCAACTTTTTCACGAACTATTTCCCAGAGAACCCTGCGTGAGAACCCTTCCATTTCCTCCGTGGCATCTCGAAAACATTACGAGGGATTTTCACATGACGATACGGAGGGCAATGAGAATCGGATAATGGTGAAATTTTGGAAAATTCAAGGGCGACACGTGGACCGGAAACGATAGCTCACCTCCAACATCCACTCCGCGACGATCTTGCGCATGAGCGGCGAGATGTCCCTCTGCACGCACTCGAAGTAAGAACTGCTGGGCGCGTATCTCTCCTCGGTTTTCAGCAGATTCTGCAACACACGGTCGTCGCCAAGAAGAGCAGGATCGGCGTAGGCTCTGCATTCAGTTTCGGTGGTCTCGCAGCAAAGCAGATCCATGTTCCCGTGGCGTTTCTAACCTCTCGAACGCACCACGCACAACAGAGCGGCGGCGTCGCCGGCAGCCTCTCCTTCTCCGGCAACTCGGCTAGCGATCAAAAAGATTCCGGTGTGTCAGGCTTCCCGACGATGCACAGTCCGATCGGCCGTTTTTTCTCTCCTCCCCTTCGTTTTTTCTCAACGTCCCTTCTCACCGCCGTCGTCGTCGTCGTCGTCGCCGTCGTCGCGGTGTCACTTTATTCACGTGCCACGTTGCCAAACCGTTTTTCGCCGGCGCGACCAGACAGAGCATGCACGAATCGATCGTAAAGATACGGTAGAAGTTCACACGAATTCGCACGAGAAGACGACGCTCGCCGGGACACTTAACACTTCACAAAATATAACATACATACACGCGTGTGCACGTATGCCGCGTGTATACGTACACGTACAGGACCTTGGTTTCGGGCAATGACTCCGAATATCACTCACCTAGAGGCCGTTTACGCGAAAACAATATTGTATGTATATATCTATATATATATATACAACACGAGACTCAGGGTTCGACGACGTGGAAAAAGCCGGTGTATGGGTGTTTTTTTTTTTTGTATATCCCTTGTTTCATGCACAACAACACACTTTTCTTTCCGTCTCTGGTGCTCTCTCGTCTGACGTGGTCACCGACTCGTATAGTTGCTTTTCTTTTTCGTATTGGACTCTTCTCTTTACGTATGTGTATATATCCTCGTACCGTTGAAGCTGCCTCTCGGTTATAACGTATAAAGGAATAGGACGAATATCTCGAACACACTAATAGCAAATGAATAAGAAAATCGTTCGGAGGTACGTGGACGTAGGATTCTAATAAATAAGCGTAATTCGGCGTTGTTGCTCGTATTCCGTCGATTAGGGTTATGTTTGAGTTTGTTGCGTATATAGGTCCACGGTATTACGGTAGGTGCCCGATACGCGAAGAAACCGTTTCCCTTTTCAAACAAGTCTGCTTACGGTCGATTTAAATGTCCAGCAATGCGAGCCTAGTCTTATTCACTTTCTCACGATCCGACGCTGGCGACTTACCAGGTCAGAATGCCGACGCAAGCCAGTAGATTACTTGCTCTTCGCCGTTTCGTCTTTCCGAAGGGGTGGTAGGTGCGTCCCCACCATGTCGGCGCCAAACGGTCACGTGACCCCTGGATCGATCCCTACCACCAAGGCGCCAGCGTGTCACGTGAAACGTAACTGTCCCCCCACCATCAGCCTGCATGACTGGGGCGCCAGTGCCGGATTCGCATCGTGTAACAGGAACCCTGCGCAACTGCCACCTACAGGCTCGCCACCTTCGGCGTTCTCCTGTTATTTCAGGGACGACCACGAGATCCGTGGAACCAAGGTGATAGAGTTTTAACCTGCTGTCGTGAGCCTACGGATGGATTTTTCAACGTCAATGATTTATCTAGCACGTTTAGTGCTTTACGAACTTCACGATTTCCGATTGAACCCATGAACAGGTGGATATAATTTGTTACAGAATTTTAACCTTTAAATTGCTGGGAAAGAAACATATGTTCACTTTTGATCGGGATCAAAATTTCTGAAATACTCTTTCTTTTTATGGATGATAATGTGTAATACGTAGTTTATTTGTGAATATTAGGTAGATAAAATTTTTACAATTCTTTTCTTTGCTTCAGTATCGACGTACAGTGAAATAAAGAATTCTTATTAGGGGGAAAAGCTTTAATCTCAAAGTTGTTAACCACTGCGAGTTGATGGTAAGTCTGTATTATGTTTCTAAAACCACGTGGACGTTATGTAAGAAACGTTTTCCCTTTAACGACTAACACGAATTACTAGAAAAGCAGTAAGATTTAACATGTCGAAAAGAAATTTTGAAAGTATCTCCGCTGTAAATATTCTGACAAATATAAATGTCTTTATTTAAAAATTGTCTAATTAACGTATTTTACTGTTGCTAATAATTTATTCCTGCTCAAATATACCTTTAATACTGAAATACCTTAAACATGTATTTCCCAAGTAATTAGAATAAACATTTACATCGAATGTTACTCGATAACTTCTTCGGTATATAATTACACGATTCTCGAAATATGATGGCCACGTTGAGTCGTTGCCACGTTTATACGTCTAATAACATGGCGTAGGGTTCCATGTGATCGTGATCCGATATTGGCTCGAGAGAGTTCGGACAAGTCCGGACTTATTCGTTTTCATTCGTTCATGAACGACGTCGAAATTCCCTTCGTTGCTCTTTGCTATCAAAATTTCGACTCTTTCAGAGTATCTTCTTATTTCTCGTTTATATTACGTTGTACAAATGTTGTCTAACGATATCACGGAACTTTGTGAGAAAATCGGTCGAAGTAATGGTAGAAAGCATCGAAGAACCCTGTATTCTAAGCAAAGGAAAACGATTTCTTCTTCAGGTGGCTGGTATACACACGTGACAAGAAACGAGAAATTCTATTCTTTTGTCGAGAACAGATCGAAGCAGTGAATTATAAATACACCGTCGGGTAGATGTGAAATAAAAGATAGGTTAGGATCTATGAACCGTGGGATCGCAAGGAATTAAGAAGTAAGGAGGTCACCTTCAGTTTTTTAAATAGCACTCCATATTTTCGTCTTGGTGGAATAATAGCCCTGATTCTCAAGTAAATCACGACGAGCACGAAGGAGAACAACGTAGAACAGAATAATGTCCAAGACTATTTATTCAACACGATCAGGTATTGACATAAAAACGTATACTTACACAACAAAGTAGCATTGAATAGGATTGCTAAAAAGAAATACAATAAAATACGTCGTATATTGTACATTTTATTCCACGTAAACAACATTAACACCTATTATCCACTGTATCCCTTTAAATTTTCAGAAAAATAAAACAACAACGTTAAAATATGAAGAAAACGTCCTTTACGCGTATTATTTTCGATCTGACACGTCATTAGGAGCTCGATAAAAATTCGTTCACCCGATCTGGTCGCTCGAGCAAGAGAGAGGGGCTCTCCGTTCGCGGATCCCTTGTACTATCGTTGCTACGGAACATTGAATCGCATTATCGCAAACGACTCGAGAACGGGTATGCATGCTGTGCACTCTTCTCTCCGGCGATCGAACGAGCCTTTAGCTAGAGCTTCGTTCGTACGTTCGTTCGTTCGTTCGTTCGTTCGTTCGTTTAGCCGAGAAATTTCTGAAGCGTGTATAGGGAAAGTAAGGGCCACTTCCGCTGGATAATTTGAACGGGCCGGGAGAAAGAAACGGTCCGTGTAGGAGTGGGAATGTCCTTCGTGCACGAAACTCGCGGCTTCTCGGCTCGTTTGCGCGTACTACGCGCTTACTACGACGTCGTACGCGCGTGCAACTTACGCGACCGGATGTTGCAGCGCGTACCAGACGACGTCGTAACGACTGTACAATAAGTGGTACGCTGGAGTACTACGGCCGAGTAAGTCGGAACGATCACGGCTGACTCCCATTAGAGAAGCTCGGTGAAAACCGGATGACCGGATATTTGACCATTCGGTTGATCGTCAAATTCGACGATTGGTCGACTGTTTACGTGGGTAGTACAGATTACGCCGAATTTGCGTATTCTTGTAGTTTAACGCTAGGTTTTACGGGACGCGTCATTTTCACGCATTTCGAATTTCTACTTATGCTTATTATAAATTTTATATAAATATATAATGTCACATAGTTTTGTTTATAAGTTAATAGTGTGTAATATGTTGTTTTTTAAAGAAAATCTGCGGTTTCGTAGAGATAGGTATATAAGAAATGTCCCTAAATTTAGTATTAATAACGTTTCTTTGTGATATTGTCTATGACGATGAACGGACCGTTTCTTTGGTGCAGACATACAGGGTGGACCGGAAATAGCGGAGTGATCAAAGATTTAGAAAATTAAGTGGATCAAGTTTAGCAGTAATATATGGATTAAGTAGCACAGTAATAATATAAAAATTATAGAATTTTACAATTTAGCTTTAAAAATATAAGAAATTTGTACTGTATGATTTTAAAAATTAATTGATCAAATAGGTGTTATTTTCACATGTCTACGACGAAATCAATGTTTAACGTATCAAAGGGAAGAATGGTATAATTTTCAATGCTAAATTTGGAAAATTATAAGAATAACAATTCTTACAAATTATTACGATACTTAATCGACCGCTTAATGCGACAATTCTTATTAAGATAATCGAAAATAAATTTGAATATGAAGAAAAAAAGTGTTGTTCCTTTACGCTATTCAATTGCATAACGATTCAATGAGCGGGTATAACAAACGAATGTGTACTATTTAGTTCGTGAGATAATGGTGCAATTACTATTAGTAGTAATGGGAATAATAATGGTTATGCTGATAATTGTAATCACGCAAGGAGTATAACAATCATAGAAAATATGTTATTGCCATGGTCATGGTCATGGTCACGGTGACAGTGACAAGTAGTAGTGACAGTGATGAAGTCACGATCGTATTACCGGTGTTTCTTGACTGAGTCAGGATAAACTCACAATCAAATCACGGCTAAAAGTCACCAACAACTTGTGATCTTGAATCAGTATTGAAATTGTCGCTTTGGATTATCACTTAACCAATATTTTGTTGTAGATCGACTGTAACAACAATAGCAAAGTAGTTAGTAAATGATAATACTCACGATAACAACAATAATGATACGTAACAGTAGGAACGGTAAAATAACATAGTATGGTACCTGTAGAAAATAGTAATCATAGTAGAAAATACAGCGAAACCGAAATAATTGGTAAACTAGGAGAAATGAAATTTTAGTAGCAGTGATAGCAATAGTAATAATAATAATACTGTAAATTGGTATTTTGAAGATAATGATATTGATGGTGATGATGATAGCAACAACAGTAGAATAATAATAGAATAATAAACTATGAAAAGTGGGATATCAAAAATAACGATAATGATATTGTAATAAACTACGGAAAGTGAGATTTCACAAATAGTGATAACGATAGTATAATAAACTATGAAAAGTGAAATTTTAGTAATGACGATAACGATAGTATAATAAACTATGAAAAGTGGGATTTCAAAAGTAACGATAATAATACTGTAACAAATTAAGGAAAGTGAGATTTAAAAAATAGCGATAACAAAAGTATAATAAACAGTAAAAAGTGAGTAACAAATTAATGCCAGGACTGGCAATAATAATAAAAAGGAATACAACGGTGAAAGTGATATAAAC